AGCAGGTGAGCACTGGGTTTGTGGATATATTTGGATGACAATCACAAGGGAGATAGGAGTGAAGAACTGGCTTCAGATGTAGTTAGCATACTGCATGAACCGGCTTAGAAGCCAGATCAGCTGAGTTTGGATGACAACTCTGCTCTCTACTGGCTATATAACTTGGGGTCAAGTATTTTATTTATTCAGACCTCAGTTTCCTCATCTGTAATGATTGTTAACTAACTCACTGACTTTTTTGAGGACTGAGTGAATTCATATGAGTAAAATTTTTATATGTAAATGATTAGTTGAGTATTATCTAGTGTGATGGATAATTTATGCATCCACTTAGTCTCTTCTTTGGTCAACGCTAGCCTAGATGTGACTGTTAAATGTATTTTTTGGATGTGATTAACATTTAAGTCAGTAGATTTTTTAGTAAATCAGATGGCCCTCCCTAACATGGTAGGCCTCATCCAAATAGGGAAAGACTGAGGAGTCTCACAAGAGAAGGCATTCTTCTTAAGACTTCAAGATTTCAGACTCAGAACTGCAGGGCCAACTCTCACCCCCATTTCCAAGCTCCTGGGATACTCTGTAAATTGCAAACTTAGCAGTTCTCAGAACCGTGTGAGCCAATTCCCTAAAGCCCCCTTTTCTCCCTCTCCTTGTCTCTCTACACACACACACACACACATACACACACACACACACACACACACTCCTCATACTATCCTATTGCCTTTTTTCCCTCTGGAAAACCCTGACTAATGCAGACAGTGTTACATCAAGGAGAGTGGAAGTAAAATACCATTACAAATTTGATATCAACTCCATGATCGAATTATTAAGGTACACCTAGCCATCTCTAATGATTAAAAAGAAACACTTTGCCAAACGACCTAAGGAAAGCAATAAAGAAAATAGTCCCTCACCAACTTACTTCAAACTAGACATCTATGATTGAAATAGTATACTTTACAGCTGAAATTTCACCTTTTCCCTATTTTTTTTCTGAATAGACTTGTTAGACAAAGTTGAGGGGAGACCTAAGAGGAAGTTTTATATCTACATAATAATAGTGTAGACATTTGATCATAAAATCTCAAACTACAGCTTTACTTTTTCCCCCCTTACTCTCTAAAGATCCTCCTTGATCTCTAGGAGAGAGTCATTCCACGTCACATTTGTCCCACTCTCCCTCAGTTCTTGTTCCCCTTCTCAGGAAGGACTCCTCAGGCTTCTGTCCCAGCCATGGAAACCATCCATCACTCAGAGAGGGAATCTTACTGGCCCTGGAGCAGGAAGCATGAAATCTCATCTAATGCCCATGATCCTGTCTGCATTTATGATTTCTAGACACAAATTTTTATTTTCCAGATAGAGAACTGTCTATCTTGCTACTATGATATTAAATTAGATTTTAATAAAATCAAAACAAGAAAGGTTTTTTTTTCCGAACAAACATAAGGATTATTTGTAAACGACAGGATCAGCATTTTAATAAATCTGATCTGCTCAAAACGATAATAAATACCATTTCATCTGTGCTTGTCATGCCAACTACTGTTCTAAAGACCTTACAAGTATTAACATGCTTAATGCTCACAACCACTGTGGGGTTTGACTCATTTGAGAGAAAATCTAAGGACAACAAGGATATTGTATGAATTTTTGAAGTTTCTCTACTAATATGTATAATTAGGATATTAAAAAAGAAAAGATTGCTGTTTTTAACCACAGCCCCTCATTAACCTCTCATAAGCTCCAAGGAGTTTCAAAAAACTATTTTAAAAAGTTACGTTAGGTATTTACCAGTATAAGTCACTTGCATGTTCTAAAATTCACGTTAAATTTTCAAGTTTGAACTATGATTGCTCCCTCACGCCCTAAATGATTACATAGCAGACGGATTATTTACTTAGTACTCTGGGCATCCATTCTGGCTTTACCATCTGAGAGAAGTCTTGGAAAGTCAAAGTGAATTTGTACTATCTCTAGTGAGAATTTACATCCCAAAGGCTGTCTTTCTCTCATCATTAGTTATATCAGGTACTCTGCCATGCTACATTTTGGGGCCTGGTTTCTTTTTCTATACTCTCTTCTATCAAACTTAGCCTCACTTTTACTTCCATCTCTTTGTGTATCTTGTCTACTGAGTACGAGTTCCATGGATCAGGACTAAATTGGAGCACCATCATATGCCTGGAGTAGACCCATGGGCTCTGCTGTTTTCCTGCATACTTCCCTCCTGGCAGCAATACCTCTTCACCACATGACTCCAGATCCTCAAGATACAGAATCTCAGTGGGTTGCTAGAGACTTAGAGAAAGGACAGTCACAATGTAATATCTCACCATTGCCTGGAACTAGAAGCACATGATAAGGGTTTCTAAGGCCATTCAAAATGGCATTTGTTCTCAGTTTGACTAGGTTCACACTGAGAAACTATAGCATGCCGGTTGAAAGCATGGATTTCGGAGTCAAACTATACTTTAGAATGCCAGCATTGCCATTTACCAAATATAACCCTGGGTAAGCAACTTAACTTCTTTGTGTCTCTGTTGTCTTCACATGAGATTGCATATGAAACCCTGAGCTCAACACTTGGGGAAAATATGTTTCTAAGAGTTTTAAGGCTTTAAACTTGGATGACCTTTTATATCTCAATCCTTAACTTTAAAAAAATTTTTTTGTTGTTGTTGTCAATGGACTTTATTTTGTTTGTTTATATCTGGTGCTGAGAATTGAACCCAGGGCCTCATACATGCTAGGCAAGCACTCTACCACTGAGCCACAATCCCAGCCCCTCAATCCTTAACTTTTATTTATAAGAAAAGTGAGGCAGAGAGAGGAAGTTTGAGAGTACATAACAGATTGTCTGGCTTCATACACAAGAACATTTGCCACCCCATTGCCAGTCTTTCTAGAAGCTCCTGGATCACAACTCTGCCTTTATGGCTTATACCTCATTTATGAAAGGCTAGTGTCTCTAAGTTGTTTTCTTCAGGAGTTAATGGAGTTGTACTGAGCTATTATCTCACCTGTTCTCTGTCCTGAAGCTCAGGACAGAAAAGTAGACAGGGTTAGGATGCCAGAGACGAGCATGGGTCACAGTGGAGCAAACAGCATTCACCGCAGTCTCACAAACAGGGTTGTGGGTAGTGAGGTAATCAGCCTCACACAGACCTGTAGTAAAAACACAAAAACACAGGCCCTGCTGACCACAGAAGTCATCCTTCCAATTCCCTGCCAACTTGGGGTTGATAGAAACAGATCCCAATACAGATTAAAAGGGCTTGTAAACAAATACATTCATTGGATTCAAATCTTGTCTTTTAAAAATGGTTTTAATTCTGAAAAAGATTGGAAAAAAAAATGGATAGGCTGATATGATTTATATGACTCTGGTTTAGTCCTACAGTCCTTCCTCTGATCTGAGGAATAAACAAATACAACATGATATGTCTTCATCCACACCGCCAGGCCCCTGAAGAATATTCATATGAACCTAGAGAACAGCACTGCTTGCAGGCCCAGAGCCAAGGGACACAATGTGAACACAGTCTTGCCCTACACATATTATTTGGAGCCTTTTTCAGGTATGGAGAGGCGGTAGAAAGACAGCCCTCACTTGTTTTAATATTGCTTAACTAAATCTCTTCCTCCAGCTCCTATGTCACCCTCTTCCTCGCTGCTCACCCCAAATCCCTGGGCAGACAAGTCCTGTATTCCTTAAGCCTTCACAAAAGTCATCTGGAAACAGCCAAGTGGGGCAGAGGGCTTTGCCATTCCTCTCACCCTCAGTGTGAACATTTTTATCATTTCTTCCTTGTTGCAGTCTAACAGCTCGCTTAGTATGTATGTGTAGCCCTTGTTTTCTCCTTCATGTTTATTTCTGCCTCCAAGTTTCTTCTGTTTTTACCAAAACCATATAAGTTTCTCCTCCCATTACACTTACACCACACACACACAAAAGTTGGGAAAACACTTTAATTATTCCCAACCACAACACCACTTCTAAGCAACTACAAAGAAGAAAGCCTTAGAGATACAAAGCCCACACTAAAAGTTCAAGGAGACCAAAGCCCGGGAATGGTAGAGCCCTCCCTGCAAAAGCCAAGGTGGAAATGCAGTCTTCCTAAATTCCAACAGGGTGCTCTTTCCACTGGTGGCTGTTTTGTGCCTTCCTCTCTGACAAACAATACTTGATAATCCATCCATGAAACATCCTTGAGTAGAAATGGGCACTGGCCAGGTCCCCCTGATAATCTGAGGTGCTGCTCGAAAACAAACTCCTTTCAGGAAGCAATTGGTGTATGTGAAGGGGGCAGCTTGGGGTGGGGCACTAGGCTGCATTTTCAAAGGGAGGACAATATATGAAAGGGCATGTGCTTCTTTCAGCTTAAGATGCAAGGGCAGACACAAATACTGGATATGCTACTACTAACTTGCTGTGTTGTTTTATGAAAGTCGTGTTTCCTTTCTGGGTCTCAGTTCTCTAAAGATCTCTGAGGGCCCTTGAGGAGACAGATGATGACAGGACCTTGAAGAGAAGAAAAGGAGGAGGAAAAGAGAAGGGGAGGACGGACTCTGAATGAAGGAGAAGGAACGTGTGTAAGTAGGAATGGGGGAGGAGTTGGAAATGTTTTCAGTAAGATATTGGGGCGCGTTAAAAGTGAAACTGGAGCTCTTGCGGGGGTCCATTTTTCCTTTTCTGGCGTTTTTATGTTTACACATCCATAGTAATTTGAGTGTTACTACGGAGTAAATGAATGAGAAGCCTGACCAGCGAGGAGAGAAATGAGAAGAAGCGGCAACGTACATACTTCTGGTCATGCTCCAGTTGTCCCATCATCGCTGGCGGGACTGTCCCGCAGCAGCGCCGTGGCCAGCGCCAACTCCTGCACACTGGGTCGCGCTCCTTGTGAGCCGCCCCGAAACCGCCAGGGGACGCAGCCCGGCTGCAGCAGGGGGCGGAGCTGCTTTAAATCGCGGCGCCCGGCGGTTGCAAGTCTCAGAGCCTGAGCCTGGGAGCAGCGGCCACTTCTTGCAGCCGAAGTCCAGAGCTAACTTGGACTGGGACCCTGATCCGGAAATAGAGCCTCTCTAGCAGCAGCACAGGGAGCAGGATTCCCCTCAATAACTTGGTTGGAGCGCCCCGGCTACCATCGGGAGCCCTAGGTGCGCACCTGCAAACTCTCCACTTTCTGCACCTGCCACCCGGAGCCTGCGTGAGCGCCTGAGCTAGCCATGGCCAACGCGGGGCTGCAGCTCCTAGGCTTCATTCTAGCCTTTCTGGGCTGGATCGGCACCATCGTCAGCACTGCTCTACCCCAGTGGAAGATTTACTCCTATGCTGGAGACAACATTGTGACCGCCCAGGCCATCTTCGAGGGGCTGTGGATGTCCTGCGTGTCGCAGAGCACAGGGCAGATCCAGTGCAAAGTCTTCGACTCCTTGCTGAATTTAAACAGTGAGTGTATCCCCTTCTCACAGCAGCCACCTACAGACCCCAATTCCCCCAATGGCTCCCTTATGGGGTCGTGACCCTGTTGTGTTCTGTGATTACATGATTATCAATCTTCAGGTGATCAGATCTTCTGATCACGTGATCTGTTGTGAGGGATTAGAGACAACCCTGGTTTGGGGAAAAGGAGGCCCTGGCCTAAGCTCTAGTTTTGCCTCCAACTCCCTGGCACACTTTTCTGCCCCCACTCCCACCCCCGCTCCAGGTGTGGTTTCATCTTAAATTCTTATGAGGGTGGGTGGAGATTGGAAAAGTGAAGGCCATGTTTGAACTTGAGCTCTTAGGCCTCTTCTGGACATTCTGATTCTGGGTAACTTCAGGATTGGAAGGGTTCAGGCAAGAAAATGGTGTGCCTTTTGTAGCTTTTACAGTGTGCAAAATTAAATGCATGATTCCAAAATATCAAATAAGGAAGTTTAAAAAAAAAAAAAAAACTTTACTATGACTTTTCATGGTAAGGGTCACTTTCATACCTATTATTTCCCATTTTTACAATCATGTAAGTGTGCAGAAGCCCCTCTCAAGACTCCTTAAAGAAGCCTCTTGGTATTTGCACAGACGTTTAGTTGTCAAGCCCAAGGTGTTCAGAGGAGGTGGACCATATAGTATTATTTTAGAGAGAAGATTGATGGCAAGTGGGAAAAGGACAACAAGAAAGGAGGCTTTTGAATGAGTTCCCCAGCATACTATGAAGGACAGTAGAAAGGCCTGGAAGAAAACGCTGGAAGAGTAGCAGCTTATGAAAGCAGAGAGATCACCTAGGGAAGAAGGAGAGAGAAAGCAAGAGAGATGGGTCTCCTTTTCTCTTGCTTAGTACCTGAGCCTGGAAGCTCTTATCAAGCTCTTATCAAGGACTTGAAGGTTCACTTCTCATTTATCAAGTTGGAAAGGATTATGTAGAGGGAAATATTTATATGGATGTTGGGGAGAAAGATGACAAAATGGCCTCTTCCATCTCTCTCCTTTTTTAAAAAATGAAAAGCTTTTGAGTGCCTTGTTAGAAAAATCGCTAAATCCCCAATTAGGTAATAAACTTTCATGACAGGATGATCTCTCTTGAGCAATCACATTTATTGTTGTGTACCATGTGTCTGTTGTGTCCTTTAACCAACTTGAAGAAAAGCTTCCTCAGAAAAATAAGACTGTCCACCAGTCCCCATGGTGTGCCCAGGGTGAGCAGCTTGGGACTGTTCAAGTTTACTTCACTTGCTTTGCCCACCTCCAATGAGGAACAACGATTGATATAAAATGTCAGAAGCCATGTGGTTTAGAGTTATTAAACCTGCTTCAGACCTGATTGAACACCTGGAGAATTTAATCGATGTGTATGGTGGTTTTGTGTGTTGTCACTTTAGCTTTTCAAGATTCCCGCATCATGATTCTTTTATATCAAAATTAGTCTATAAATTTAGTAGTTGTGTATTGTTTATAGCCCTTCTGTGATATATTTCCAAAGTGAACAATTGAGAGTGAATCATTGAATTGTCCCATGGAAAGAGAAATACTCTTGAAGGAAAAGGTGTCAGTCATTTTTGGCAGATGGAGAAGGTACTAAGGACAATTCCAGAGAAGTCTGAATATCAATTTCATTCCTTTAATCAAGATTGTTCATTTTCAACATGTTTAACTAGTATAAACTTAAATGACAAAATGGAAAAAGATTGATTCATGCTGTAGATACTCAATAAGATCTTCCTTAACCATAATGCTGTGTTTAAATGTTTCATTTTAATTAATTTCTTGTTAATATAGTTATTATAGTTTTTAAAGCTGTGGTGGAAGCAATACATACTTCCGTCTCGCATGCATACAATTTGGAGACTTCTGGTTTGTGTCTTCAGTGAGAACAGATTCTCCTTTCTGCTTTGGTTAAAGCCATGGTTTATCCAAGATGGAAGTAAGGCCTTTCTCCCAAAACCAATTCCCAGGAGAGGGAATCTTGACTCACAGGTTCTTTCTCTTAATTGGCCAGTGACTCACTGGATGCTTTTGGATGGAGCCCAGGAAATCTGTCTCTGTTTCTCCACCTGAGCAGTGATGCTCACGCCCACCTGATGAGAAGATCTGGGGTGGTGACACACTGACTGGTTTTGGTGTAGTTCTATGACATATAGAGATGAAAAGGACTCTCTGTGTGCATAAGTAGTGTGCCTCATAAAAGGTTATGTTTCATGAAATGCTTTAAGATGAAAGCTTGACTGTAGGTTTCCTGAAATTGTACGTTGCTATCTTTGCCAGTAGAGCCCATTTAGCATTTTAACATTCCACATATGGGAACTTCTCAAGGTTTTAGCACTGACCTTGTTTCTGTGCTTTAACTGGTATCAGTTATCAAAAACATGTGATCTTCAGGAAGGATCTTAAGGAACACAGTGTGCTTACACTGTATACAGAATGTACTCTATATAATGTAAGACACGAGAGACAGCAGGACTTATTTTGGGTAGTTCTTACCAAGCAGTTTATGAAAATGAAACTGAGGAGGTTCTTCTGGAGAAACACCTGTCACACAATGTACTATGATTTATAGGGGATAAGACAACTTTCATTGTACCCTATTGTGATGTCCATTGACATTGACAACTCTTGCAGGTGAAAGTGGAAATTTACGTGTACAAAGGAGAGTAACAAATATAATTGCAGCATACTTTTCTTAATTAACCTGTACATTTTGCCTTGTTTTAATGACATTCTCAACATTTGGGGAAGCTAATGCCTATGTTTCATGCTTCATTAGTTGCTTCTTCTTACTTGACTTTAATACCTAGAACTATCCAAAGTCTGGGCTGTCTAGGGAGGCTACGTGTTGGGAGGTATCCAAGCAGAGAATAAGTAAGCACTTTGTAAGAATGCTGTTGGGAAGATCCAAGCACCAGACAAATGGGAGGTTAGGCTAGACTCTTTAAGTTTCATCTAACTCTGAGATTCTGTAATTTGTTTATAAGCTACACTAGCCTGTTAAACTTGCTCTGCATGAATCCACATGTGTGTAGGTGTGCTTAATGAGTATTGGTTGTCATGAGGTTTCCCAGCACTCTCACCATGATGTCAGGCTCAGGCAGAGAAACAAAATCACTGACTTGGACAGTCTTTGAAGCATGGATAGAGAGGAGGGCACCCACTTATGCTTCTCTAGACTGCTTTATGCCTACGAAACCAAGGGCATTCAAAGGGCGATTGTTGTGCAGATGTTTCAAGAGTTGGTTCTGACTATTAGAATGATGGAAGTGTAATAATTTTTAAAAAAGCTTGAAATAAGAAGTTCTTAATTCTTAACCTGGTTTTGCATTAAGTAGCAATTATATATGATGGATAGGGATCCACTTGACCTCTCTTAGCTCAGGTGTTTTCCCCACACGTAAAATGAGGCAAAGTAGGAGGAACCAAGATAAATTCAATATTAATGCATCCATTCAAAAATGTGAGCACAGCCCTAATCACACTCTTAGGGATATAACTGGGATGATCCTGCGGTGCCTTCCAGTGCCAGTTTTCTGTTGCTAATTTTAGTGATGGAAGAGTGAAAAGCTAGTGGCAGAACACAATCCTAAAGTGATGAGTAAGTGACATGGAGGTGATGGAGAAGCCTAAATTTAATCATGAGGCAATTTATTTAAGAAACAAACCAAAGAAAGGTAGCAAAACCTCTCAGAGCATCCTAAAATGTGCAAAGTCCTCCCTCATCCTGGAGTTACTGACTTCGCTTATGTTCTGAAGTCACAAGAGCTCATGCACCACTAAAATGGAAATGCTAACAATGATTTCTCTTGTGAAACTTTGAACATCAGTAAAAGTGAAAGACTTCAGAAGTTGAAAAAAAATAGGAATATAATCTGTGACAGTCTTGAAGAGCTTATTTAATTGTAAGGGAGCCAAGAACATTTTTCTTCTTGTCACACAGTGGTCAATTTTTTCTTTTATTCACTCCATTCTTAGCAACTACTAGTACAAAGAAGGACTGTGTGAGGATACAATAGAACAGAAATTTATTTTGTTTATGATATACACTCTGTAGGGTAAGAATATGGTAACATGGTTAGTAAGTAGCATAAACAATGTCAAGTATTTATATTCAAAGCTTTAGAAAAAAAATCCACATTCTTGTCTGTACTTGTCTTTCTACACTTACGTTGATGAATCTAAGTACAGTAGATCAGTACCATGCAACTCATTTATTGTCTTATAAGTAGAGATCTTTGTAAATATTTTTTAAATTATACTTTTAGGTTGAAAGTGGTGAGAACTCCTTAGGGGGTCTTTAAGCTCAAGATTACCAGTCTGGCTAAGTATAATTAAAAGACTGCCTTCTCCATTTACTGCTGAATAATGAAGAGAAACAACAGCATGACTTTTTCAATGTTTACTAACCAAATTCTCCACAGACAACTTTAGTTAGTTATAATATTGTACAGGTATCTGCAAATTTAAAGTTCCAGGAAAGGAATACATTAGATTTGATCCAACCAGCTCAGAGTTAACAGCATGACTCTATATTATATCTCTCTGATTCAAAATATGATTTTATAAGTTTTAAACATTTCTCTTAGTATCTCTGCCCTGCCCTTTGTCATTCTAATAAGAAAAAAAATGAATTTCATCTTGAGAGCTCATTGGAAATATAATTTAAAAAGTTAAGTGTGTAAATGTTTCCTCTCTGTATGAGTTTTTAGCTTTTAATGACCTAAAAACTAAATCTGGCTTTATGTATAAAGATTTTAGCATCCAAAGCTCTTGAAGGAAGTGTTTCTATGCATTATTTCAAAGATTAATTAAAATGATATTATTACAGTTTAAAAGATAAAGATACTTTTCTAATTCAAATTCTTCTTCAGGCATAGATTTTCAAGTATTATACTCAGTACATTGAATGGAAATATAAATAAATATCTGATTCAGGTTATCCAGGAGCTTACAGCTACATGTCTCTGACTTAACAGCCTTCCACAAGAACTTGGTTTGAAGAATTCATCTGGCTCCAGCTTAAAACCGTGCATTGTAGATTTGATCTGCACATACAAGTCCTCATAACTTGTAACACAATATTGCTTAACTTGACTTGAAATCCATCGTTACATATGCCCAGCTAGTGAGTTTTCATGCTGTCACGATTCTCAGTGTTTGTGTATGTGTGTTCATTATTTTTACATTTTCCTTACATATCACTATAGTTAAGAATTCATCCAAATTAGTGAAGAAAGATGAGATTTTGTGTTTGATGCCAGCTAATATTGTAAAATCCAAAAAAAAAAAAAAAACCCCAAATTTACAAGTCAATGGCTTCCAGGATATAAATGGAAGATATTTCTTTACAAAACAACATCCTACACTATTGTTTTGTCACATTTAAAAAAACCGAAACATTAGCCCCTTGATCTCCATGGTTTATGTAAGCAGCAGTTTCGTTTTCTCCATTTTCTCTATTATTTTTTGTTGTTGTTAAACAAGTAACACATTATTCTATAAGAAAATGAAACACTGCAGGACTATTAGCAAGCATAAAACAGAATATCTGTTCCTCCTCCTTGGAAACCTTGCAAAAGAAGTGGTACAACATGAACCAAAGGCGTTTTTTTTTTGTTGTTGTTGTTGTTTGTTTGCTTGTTTGTTTTTATAAAGGGGAGAAATTTAGATTAAAATTGTGAATTCTAGGTCATTCTAGGCAGATGCGGGTGGAACCTGGAGTAGTTTATAGGTGTGTATGCCTTGCTTAAAAGTTCAGAGGTTTTATACAAGCCTGAGTCAGGGACCCAAAGCCCAGTAGACTCCTCGTGAAGGATGCCCTGTGCTTGCTCAGTGCTAAGACCTGCTGGTTAAGTGGCTGGTGCTTTTACTTGACAAACAGAAGTATGATTATTATATAAGGTAGGTAACATTTGTGACCCTATTACTGGAAAACTTGGAAAGAGATCAGAGAAAGCAAACAAAAGTCATTAATAGAGGGTTGGAAAGCTGAGTATGTATGATAAAATAGAAGAGGTGGCTGTAAGATGTAAGAGGTTTTATATATTTGAAAGGCTATAGTAATAGGAATATTTTCTGATTATATGATCTAAATACTGAGGGTAAAATCATGTCACCCCTGCTTTAAGATCTTCCAGTGACTTCTGAATACAGTTGGAATAGACTCCAATCCTCTACCCTCACTTTGTAATAAACTCTTTATAATGCATGCCTTCCTTGCACCTTGCTGAACCTCATTTCGCTTTCCATATCTTATTGTCTTAGTTTTCCCAGGACCCAGAGCCCCCTTAGGATGCAGGACTGTTTGTTTTAAAATGAAGACAGTCCTGGGAAAGCTGACCTGAATAGTCACCTTATCCTCTAGGCACCTGTGTTGTTTGTGCTGCTTTTGGCCTCTGCCTGGAATCCCACCAAATCTGAAGTCCGTGTTGTGGATGAGAATTGAGTTATTGTATTTTTAGTTTTCTTTCTAAATAATGATTTTCTTTGCAAAGGCTATTCGTGAATGAGAAGGAAGTATACATCTTAGTTATGGAGTCCTTGGTACTTTCCTCTTCATACCACAGTATGGTTAGTGATTCCGTGCAAAAAGTTGTGCAATGACCTTGTAAGCAGCTTCACTTCCTGTAAACCGTGGGCTGGGGAACATGTTTTGATTCCTCAGTTTCTTTCCCACCTGGAATATTGAGCTAGGGGTGTGGGTGGGTGTGTATAGATGTTTCTACACACAGGGAGATAGGAATGTTAAGGGGAGGCAGAGAGTATCTGTTTCATTTTCTAATGAAGTCAAGCAAGAAATTATTTTGGTTTACAGAATATCACTCAGATACTATAAAAATACCTTTGATGCTTCTTAGAAAGAGATTAATATGATTTGTCATAGATCAATGATGACAAGAATAGAAATGTCAATAAATTGAAATTTAATGATGCTTCAGAAATGTTTAGTTTTAATTTTGATCTGTAGCCTAAGTTATCAACCCTGAAGATGCTGAACTGAACCTGAGTATAAATAAGATTTTGAAATTCAAAATTTTTCCATCATCTCAGCCACTTTTGAAGACCAGAAGGAGCCAATGCTTCTAACTAAATAAAATCTAATCTGTTTAGTTCCCCCTCCTTATATATTTCAAGTCTTCACCTTTATGCCACAATGATGGTCTGAAGTTTCTTCTCTTTAAGAGATCTATCGACATAATCTCTCAAACCTGATCCTGTCTATTTGATCATGACTTAGTATACCAAAGACAATACGGGGGATTAGAAAATTAGTGGGATCCTGAGAAATACCAAAATGAATTGTTGTGTCTGTTATTTTATAACATGACAGCTGATATAGTTGGAAAAAAACGGTTAAACTTTTGAATGTGAATATACTACTGTGTCCCAAAGTAACTTCTTAAAGTTTATTTTGTTTAAAAAAAAATGGGGTTTGTATCCTTCTAGTAACCAGAGATACAAGTGTGGCTTATCCAGCCATGATAATCTTTGGAAAAATTAATTTATGTTTCATATTCACTACTTTTTCTGAAGCTTAATGATTGTGGTGTAAAGTTGGTGATAAATACCAAAGATGCATTGTAAGCCATTTAAATTACAAATAGTAAACATCAAGATAATATGTATACTTGTTATTTCAAAATTAAAATACTCTTAGTAAGGAATAAAAAGACATTAGTTCAGCTAAACCTGTTCAGTTAGATGATTGCTTATTCTTCCAGTTGATTTTGAATTTAATTAAAAAAAAATGTTAAGGCCAGAGAGCCTCTGTTCAGCATCCAGCCTAGGTGTTTTTTTTTTTTTTTTTTTTAATGTTTGTTTATTTTGTTTTGTTTTTGAGAGAATAGTGTAGTCTACCAGCAGAAATATCACTAGAATGGAGGCCGTCTAACTCCCACTTCAGATTCTTCCCTTCCATACAAGACTAAAATATACTTGGTCTCCTACTACTCTTTTCTTGTTAGTTTAGGCAAGTTTTTTAAAATGTTCTAAATATTTCCTTTCAGGCACTTTGCAAGCAACCCGTGCATTGATGGTGATTGGAATCCTGCTGGGACTTATAGCAATCTTTGTGTCCACCATTGGCATGAAGTGTATGAAGTGCTTGGAAGACGATGAGGTACAGAAGATGCGGATGGCTGTCATTGGGGGTGTGATCTTCCTTATTGCAGGTAAGAGAGGCCTGCCTCCATGGCTCCCATTACCAATATGGATTGAGATTTAGTTTTTGGTTTCATTAGGTTTTGTTGAATGAATTGCACTTATAATTATTTTCATCTCTTTAAAATCTGCAGACACAGACCTATAGTCAGTTGACTGTTGTGTGAGAGCCAAATGAAAATATTATGTATGTGCTCACATGTCAGTTCTATTCGCTAAGGTTTCAGATGCTCACTTGTTTGTTACAACCAGTCTCTCCCCAGTTGAAGAGAGATGTTTGCTACCTAGAAAAAAATCAAGAACAATTTTATTAATTTAGAAAACATCTCTTGTGTCTCCATAGAAACTATGTTAAAATGATGGGGAATAGTTAGAGGAAGCATAAATCACTGGGTAATCATACAGGTCTGTGAAAGGTAGACAGGATTTGGATTATTGGAGAAAAATGAGGACAACATTCCATATAGAATTATATGGAAGATATAATTGCAGAATAAAAAAGTATATATCCATAGATCAGAAGAGAGAAAGACCAGTTGGAATAGAGGTGGACTATTGAAGTTAGATTAGATGAGTAGGAAAGAAAACAAAGTGGGAACATCTTGGAAAAAAATCTTGATAAAATAATGAAGTTATTTTTACCATAGAAAATAAGGATGTATGTGTTATTTTATTCAAGTGTTAAATTGTGTGTCTTTTGAGAAAATAAAAGCTAGAAGATGAATAGCATCATTTCACATCTTTCTAATAAGGTTTATTTTATTATTATAAGGTTTATTTTAATATGCCTTTAATATAATACCTAATGTAGGCAGATAGTAATAGAGTACTATATATCCTAACTATTATGTGTGAATATAAATATAAATATGTATTAAATATATTATATATATATATATATATATATATATATATATATACACACCCATTAGTCACAAATATACAAAAATAAAGAAAACTGGAGTAAACCTTCCTAATTTTTTTAATTGACCAAAGACTAGAGGGGCCTTGATTCAGCACAACATGTGAATTTAACCCGTAATAGAGGGAGAATGTGGCTTTGCTAAAGAAGTGATTAGAGTGATGCGTGATAAAATTCCAACTTATTGAAGCACATATTAGCTCCTGTCTGAAAAGACATGAATGATGATCTATTCCTAACAATTTCATCTTGGGCCTTGAATAAACTCAGTGTGTAGCACCTTTTCTTTGCTTGCCTTCTTGTAACTTCAGTCTCAGAAACTTCCTCAGGCATGCAGCTCACAGGTGGGTGCACATGGTCTATTTGAACAGCCAAAAACCAAAGTGTTTTCTCTCATGCATTAAAGACGAGTAGATGTAACCAATTTTTTTGAAAAAGAGGAGAAGGAATATAGAAATTAATCTGTCTATACTGATGAATTTTCAGAATTGCAATAAAAGATATTAGTTTCTTTTTAAATTTATTTCTTGACAGGTAAATTTGCACATATTTTTCATATACATTGAAAAATAAGTAAACTGAGCTAATTAACATCTTGCCTCACATAGTTACCATTTTTGTGTTAAGAACACTTATATATACTTTCTTAGCATTTTTCAAGAATACATTAATTGTAGTTAGCCTTTTGTACAATGAATCTCTTGAATTTATTTCTTCTATCTAACTGAAATTTTGTATACCAATTATTTCCTTTGGACAAGAAAATATGAGCCATTTTATATTTCATTATAAACATTTTATATTTATGTTAATGGCATAGGTGTTTTAGATGAAGTGATTTCCCTGATATTAATGGATAAAAATTTTGTGTGAAACTGAGCTTGTGCTATAGAAAGCAATTTCACATGGCACCCTCAGCAAATCATTCATTGTACAGTGTTGCTCTAGCCATTAGGGATTTGGGTGTTCTGGTCCATTCTGAGACAGGTCCTGCTCTTTCTGCTACTAGCCGCTTATTTTAATTTTGTTTCAGCAGAAACTGTAAATTTTCACTTTGGTCAAGTGGAACCTATAAGAATTCTCACCTTATGTTTTTAAGCACAACTAATAAGAACAACAGTTATATTAAAAGTAGCTTAGCATACTAAACTATAGGACTGCAGTACCTTTGAAGAAAATCTTGAATAATATGAATTTGCTGGATTTCTTCTAAAAAGCATTATTTGTGCCAGTGACCTTGAATAATAAATAAATAAAATGTCATGAATAGTTAAACTATGCCTAATTCCAACTTAATATTTTTGTATATCTTAACAGAATACTTGGAATGAATCATATATAAATCAACTCTACTATTGGTAATACTAAGATAAAAATGTCAGCACTATTGTTGAGATTTAATTCTTATAAAATACGTTCGGATTTAATGGGCTCAGTGTTCCATAGTGATTAACAGCCTTTTGTTTTGCATTTCTGTAGGTCTGGTTATTTTAGTTGCCACAGCATGGTATGGCAATAGAATTGTTCAAGAATTCTATGACCCTATGACCCCCGTCAATGCCAGGTAATGCTATTCAAGCAGAAAATAGTTTATTTTCTGAGAGAAATGCCCTTCTTATATTCAACACAATCCTGCTAATGCCATAGTTCCTCAAATTTGCTTTCAAAAATTGTATGAAATCTTATGTCAAACTTGCAAACAATTCAAATGACCTGTGACTCGTGTTAAAATGAGTTTGATAATTGCTTTAACAGCCTGTATTGATGACAAAATGCACTTCAAAGTAGAAAAGTTCTGGGCTGTGTATTTCCCAACTACATGGGGCATCTTTATTTTTTTCCTCCAAATAGGAACAAGTGTTAATATATTTAAAATTTTCTTCTTGAAGTGTATTCTGATGTTTACAGCAACTAACTATGATTACTTGTAATGCATAGTTTATTATGGCTTAAAAAAATAGTACTACCGTAGTGGTTAATTAATAATACTTTATTCTTAACAGTTATTTTTACATGTAAAGCCATGTTGTGGTGTATTTTTCTAGTACTTTGAGATATACCTTTGAAGTATTATGTTCCATTACCACTACAAAATTGACTTAATAAAGATCATCTCTTTTATTACTACAAACCATGCAAGTTAAAGAGCAGATTCTTGGTCCTCACATGATGACACACTTTGATCAGGGACAGCACTGATTGTCTCACTGTCTTCACATCTTTAAAGCTTAATAACTACATTCAAAGTCAGGATGTTAAAATGTAATTATTGTTTGTAAGTCCTAGGATGAACAAATGAAAAATCTCAGTGTTTTCAGAGATAAGGTGTGCTTCTTTTTATATAATCTCCCACGTACAGAAGAACACAGACTGCAATGATTATATTGGAGCCTGTCCCATAAGATTTATGATGCAGGAACAGAAACTTATGGAGGTCAATAGGACAAAATTTTACCAGAGCAGTCATACCAGTAGTGCATGTGAAAGCAGTTTATAAGTTGCTGGACACTATGCACTTTTTGTTTACATGCTCACACATGATCCTGAAACCCATCCAAGGAAACAGGAGGAAGAAACTATGGGTGAGAGGTGAAGTTGCTTTCCCATAATTGCAACAGTTGGGGGTTTGCACCAGGATCCAAACCCAGGCCTTATAACTTTTAGATCTAGTTCTTTTATCTCTATTGCCCATAATCAGTCACAGATACTTGACCATAGGAAACTGGCTGGCTTAATACATCTTTGAGCTATGGACTACTCAGAAGTCTTTTTATAAAACATAAATTTTAGATTTTAGTTTACATAGTAGGATCAACTATTAGAAACTCTAGTAGATTCTACTCTAGCAATTTTTTAAAAAATATGATTGGTATTTGATAGCACCAATTAATAAGTTATAGACTAGGAACTGTGGTCCAATCCCCACAACTGAAATATATAAGCATTGCTTTACAAGTCTCCTATACGTGGAAAAATCTTTGGAAATATTCATGTAATTAAGTTGGCGTTGCAGGTTATATTCCTGCTGTACTATTATAAATTGTCAATAATTGCAATGTAATCATTCTTGTGTTCACAGACCTTAAAGTACCTCTCAAGGAATCAAGGGGGGGGGTAATTTCTCTAAAGAAATATAATGTGTATTATATCATTTCCTTCTTTAGAAAAATTGCCAGTGATTCGTTGACTAACATATGCCTTGTGTCTCTCTTTAGATATGAATTTGGCCAGGCTCTGTTCACTGGCTGGGCTGCTGCCTCGCTCTGCCTTCTGGGAGGTGCCCTACTTTGCTGCTCCTGTCCCCGAAAAACAACCTCTTACCCAACACCACGGCCTTATCCAAAACCTACACCATCCAGTGGAAAAGACTACGTGTGACAGAGGCAAAAGGAGAAAATCCTGTTGACACAAATACAGAATGGACTTTGAAATACTATCATTGACATTATGATCTTAGACTTTTGACTATTGTAATCTGAACTGTGGTTTTTTTTACAAAAGAAACCATATTTTTATAAATACCCATTGCGACAAGTAGCTTAGTCTTATTTTATCTTCTTTTCTCAGAGGGAAGCCCTTTCCATCGTTTTACGGCTTCCCACCAAATAGTCATGGGGGAGGGGTGCCCCTTAAATATGTACAAATATGTATATATACATGTTTTTCTATAAAAATCAGACCATAAAAACTCTTATTGTCATTATGTTGGTATTCGTACACTCAGAGTATCTCTAAAATAGAAAAAGTATATTTCATTTTAATTAAATAAGCCTATTAGAATATTTTTCTTCCTTTTTCTTCATGCCTATTTAATAGGTTGAGTATCATTTAGCCCCTGCTGTCAGCTTTTAGCATCTTTGCTGTAAGACCAAAACTACTGTATCAAATATGAATTCTTCATGTGTGCCCTTTTCATATACTTACTTTATCTTATTTTTCCATGATCTTATGGCACTTACTTCTTTATCAGCCCTCACCCCCCCAAGCCCACTTTTCTTTATGTTGGACTCTTTTCCTGAATCTGACAATGTATCTGGTAGAATGCATTTTCAGTCGGAAAGCCAATAAGAATCTGTTACAGTTCAAAGCTGTGGGAACAAATCCTTCTGCACGACCAGACGATATTTTTCTGTTGACCTTCCCTCAAGATCCCTGTACTTTGACCTACGGCATTCTTGTTTGCTTCGAAAATATTTGTTTCATGGAATGGCTGTGCTGCTCACCTGAGTGTCATAACACACTTTTATTGATTGGATTTTTAAGATACTTATTCACAGTCCCACATCCCCCAAACTACCTTTTTCTTCCTCCCTCCTAAGCTACATTGTTTTTTTTCATATGTAATTATTATATAGTTTACCTCTTCCCAGAGAGGTGTGGTATGTTTATCTGAACAAAATGCTAGACTTGCTGGAGTGATAATGTGGTGACAAATACTCTCTCTATAGCTGTGAGCAAGTCACTTAATCTTTCTACCTCTTTTCCCATCTGTCAAATTGAGATAATTATGCTTAACCAGCTGGTAAAGGTAATGGGAGTATTAATTAGTTGATATGAGTCTCATTCTTTGAACATGAAATATGCCTAAGTAGTATTTTTCTTTGCTCAATTGGCAGCTTTGAAGTTGCTGAATAAAACCTACACACAGCCTTTGCTCTGTGTAGTAGCTCCTTTTTTCTGCAGGTCCATTTCCTTTCATTCTGCTGGGCTGAGCATTTTGTTGGTGCTCTGTTCCATTTGAACGACTTCTCCTACCTTTCTAGTCTGTAAGAATGGTACTTCACATGAGCAAGATGATGTAATGGAAAGGGTGTTGACTCTGAGGTCTGGAGGCCTGGATTTGAATCTCAATGCTATCAATTATTGCCTTGAGTTTGGGCAAGACACTTGGCTGCCCTAGATTTATTGCTTCATCTCTAAAAAGGGGTTTGTAATTCCTAATCTGCCTACATCACGGGGATGTTGTGGGACTCCAGTGAGATGCAATACATGTGAATGTGCTTTTGTAAGGTGAAATGTGCTGTACTAGGGAAAGAATTAAGAAATTTAAGTGCATAGTTTCGGGGGTTACTTTTAAAAGGAGGAAAAAGAAGAGGAATATTGACATGGGTCATTTGCCTTAATCAGTCTCTTGAGTGGTGAAACACTAAAGTGAGATTCAGTTCACTAAATAAAAAAGATCCTGAGAAAGTCCTCATTTCTTCAGTCAGATGGACTGATGCTTTTGTAGCTAAGCAGATGCAAAGGAGGAAACAGAAACCTGAGTGTTTGGGAGTCTTTGACACATAAACTGTAAGGGGTTTGTGGAGGATATTTGTTAAGTAATACCTTCAGTGTTCTTATTGTCAGGTGGCAGCTACCAAGCACTGCAGGGTAGTGGGAATGGTACTTCATGCTAAAAGCACAGGGAGAAGTTATCCTGAGTCTTATGAGGATTTGGACCAAGCAACTTTTAGCATGTCTTCCAAACCTGACAATTTATGCTTCTAGATGTTATAATTCAAAGAGCCCTTGCCTCATATATAAAGCCTGATATGTTGTGTAAATGCATATGGAAACCTATTGCTAAACCCCACAGAAAATCAATAGTCCAAAGATCCAACAGAATTTTTGTGATAGAATTTATCCAGTTTTGATATTTTTATATTCTGCTACCACACCTGGAAAAGGCCAATAGATATTTGGTGGGTTTGTAATGGGAATTTGTATAAAGCATTGCTCTTTTTAAATAAACCATGTTTTATAATTTAAAAAAAAAGATTTGTGGCTTGATTTCTAATAACTTATTTCAATATTGGTATGCTTGCCAGAGGAGGTGTCCTAAGACAGGATCTGATTCACCATGTGCTCTTGGGAAAGAACTACAATACCTCTGGGCCATACCAAATATTCCCCTACCTCTACTCACTAGCATGCACCACCTCTCTCAAACTGGGCTTCTTACACAGGCTGATAATAGAAGAGGTACCCGTAATTATTCACAATTATTTATTTTTCATCCATAAGAAGGGGAAGTACATCAATGAGTGAATGAAGAGTAAAAATCAGGCTAAAAATCCATTGTTGTTTTTATAATGATTCTTATCAAAACTACCTGTTAGGAAAGCAGGTGATGAAACTCATTGCTTAGTATCTTAATATATCAATAAATGAGCATATATTAAGTGTGGCCTCTGCCTGGGTAATTTTCATATTTATGAGACCAAGGGATGTGAGTAAAGGATGGCACTATACTGTGGACTCAGGCATCAGCATGATCTGTGAGGGACCAAGATCGTTGGGGGTCACTTTGATTTCAATTCTCCTTAAACAGAATCCACACTCTGTTTCTATAGAATTTAAATCTCTGAGGGTAAAGTCCAGGCCTGGAAGTTGGTGGAAATAAAATTGTTAGGTGCTCCTGATAAGAACTGGAGGAAAAGCTAGATTGTAAATGACAGCAATGAGATGTTCATCTCTGTGTGCACTCATCCTGAATCTGAGTGCCAATATGCTTACAAACTGTGTCATTTTTCCTCCCTCTTAGTTAGCACTTTCTATGTATGCCCAGATTCAGGTATATATCTTGTTCTCATATTCCTATGTGTTTAAACCTGTCATTAATTCTTTTTTTTAAAGCCATCCATTTATTTGTTATTTATTTATTTCTTACATACATGACAATAGTGGAATCATTACATTCATAATTATCCATTCACAGCACATGATCTGGTTGTGGATTTTTTTTCCTTTGGGGATGTAGCTCATGCGATAGGTTCCTGCTTTTCCTTCCTCCTCACTCCACACATTCCATACTTACCCCCAGCCTGTCCTAAAATCTCTTCATTTAACTGATGGCATGGAAACCCTGATGGAAGTCATGACAAGTTCAGGGGTTACATGGGGACAGCTTGCTGAGGACCAAGCCCAGGCCATCAGGAGCTCTCTGTGCTGGACCTCTGAAAATCTCATGGAATTTTGCATACTTGCCTTCTATTAAGATTTTTTCCCCCCCAAACAGCTGATATTGGCAATTAAAAAATAGATGTGAATGTATAAAGTTGATATTTACTGAATACCTACCATGAGCCCAGCTCTATTAAATGGAGGCAGGCCAAAGGAGGTATGAAACGAGTAAGACACAGTCCTGGGCCTGAGCAGCGTGGAGAATGTTTAGTTGAAAGAAAGCACTGGTTCTGCCACCGATCAGATCAGACTTGTGAGCTATCCACTCACTATTTCCTCCTTTGTAAAATGAGCACTTAGATCCAGGCAGTGGTTCTTCTCCATAACAGGAATTGAGAATCACCTGTGAGCTTTTGAAATTTTCTAATGTCAGGGCCCTACCCCAAATCAGGGGAATGAAAAACCTCTGAAGGGAAAGTCCTACTTTGAGCTTCTCTTTCAGGGAGGTGAAGACCAACATTTCTCACATCCGTTCCAACCAGGTTTTTCTGTTACTCAGGTAAAACGACATCAAGCCCCATCATGTCCTAGTCATGCTTCTCAGGTCATGTGCTGATCTATCTTGAACTTCAAAGAGAAAAGCACAAAACTACAGCCGCAATCTGATGGGAGCAGAAAAGCATATTAGCCAGTTGTTCAAAGGAAGAAATATATTAAATTTAGATTATTCTGAATACCCCCAAACAAATCCTAACTTAGGACAAACTAACCTAGGGTAAGATGGGATGCGTAAGATCTACACTGTTAAAGGGGCTGCCTTATAAGCACCTGTTTTATGGGTTTCACACTTGTGTATTCCCACTGCTCCTTCTAATGTTCAGAATATATTCTTTTCCATCACAGCAACACATTGTCTATTAATAAACTATTCTATTTTAAAGAAACAAAGTCAGAGGGAAGAAGGCATTGCTCTTCTTTGCTCCTTTCTCATCTCCCCCACTTCCCCTTTAAATTTTGTGGTTTTAATTGTAAAAAGGACTGGAGAGAAAGGATACTGCATATGCTGAAACTCAACAATGTGCTGTGGAGAAGGGGATAAGATAAAGGGTACTCATTTTGATAGGCATTTCCATAGGGCACATTGTGATCACAAATGAGGAAGAGGATAACTATAGATAGAACTGTGAGAATCAGATGCCAGGAAATGTTGGTGTTTCACCTATGTCTTAGATTTTTACATGCCGAGGTAGGTACGAGAAGGGAAATTCCAGGAAGGGAAATTCCAGGAAAAAGCAGCAGCTAAGCACATGCGTCAAAACATAAAACATCACTGCCCATTCAGGGAAAGTGATAGAAAGAAGGAGGAGGAAGGAGGAGGAGGTGGAGGTGGAGGTGGGAGTGGGAGTGGGACATGGTTACTTGCAAAAATAAGGCAGAGAGAAGAGAATTGATAGTGGTCAGCCCCTTCCCAGCTCTCCCCCTGCACACTCCTTACTAATTTCAT